CTGCTGTCCAGGCTGGTGGGTTTGACTCTCATACAAGCTGTATGATAAACATTAATATTTTCTTACACATGTACTTTTGTTTCCTCCAACTTCCATTTCACCTGATCTTGATGTTTAAACTTAGAGTCTCCCTGCCCAACTACAGGAGTAAAACGCACTTTGCCACTGCTATACCCGTAGGTGGATCCTCAGTGAACCTACATGAAAACACCAGGAAACTCTTCCAACCTGACTTGAAATCTGTTTTCTAACTCAGTTTCAAAGGTTCAGACCTTGCCTGACTTGGGTGGTTTAAAACTGCCCTTAGGTTTTTCTAAGGCCAAGTTACAGTCTCAGGAGGAATGTTCCTGCCTTGATGAACCAAGAATCCCATCACTTTTCACAAAGCTAACTGTAAGAGTAGCATGAAGAACATGGTTATATCTTTGTAAATGACCTACCTGTGACCTACTGCATTTGTAACGAGAACAGGAGAGCCCTCCTGGAGTGCCTGTGGAAGCACCTTCTAGACTTCTTCAAGAGAGCGGTGGGCAGGGAGCTTTAACCATCTCTTTTGGTTGGTGAGGGGATTTTGGAAAGAGGGAAGTAAATGGAGCCAAAAGGAGCTACAGGGAATCTTTAAACCAGGCCCCCAAGTTTGCTCTGCAGGAAAGCTTGCCCCTTCTCCAGCTGTCTTTCCTTGTCCTCTAGCCGCTGCAGCCCCCGGTTCTTGCGGAACTCACGGCGGATGAAAGCAAGGTAGAAATCCCGGTCGGTGTAGCGCAGCCCACGGCCCTGGCGCAGCAGAGCCCGATAAAGGGTCAGGACAGCCTCCCGGGACCACGCTGCCATGGGGGACGGTGCGTGGACGGGTGACCTAGAGAGGGGTGACGAAGTGCAGGATCTGAATCAGCTTTTCCCTCCCCCAGGGACGCACGGGCCGCCGCCTCCCCCTCCATGCCTGGCCCCACAGACCGCTGTCCTCCGCGGCCCAGGAAGGGACGGGACAGCCTCTCTAACGGCGCACCGCGGATAACGGGCTCTCTAAGGGCACAAGGCCGCACGCCCTGTTGTGGGGGAACCGCCGGGCCCCGCGGCCTGGCCCTTCCCAT